GTGTCTTCTAGTTGTGTAAACAAAATTTTTTACAAATAAGCCATAAAATGCTAGCTGTCAAAATATATAATGATAATACGGTTTAGAACGAAAATGGCGGGAAAAATACCACTAATCCGTCTAGTGGTAAAAAAAAACGAACTTACTTTCCAAACAACCCAATATATGCTAATGCTTCAGAGTTTTTGATTTTGATGAGTAAAAGCTGTAAAGAACTGTAATGTTAGATTACTACATAGATGTAAAATTTATATTTATTTAATTAATTTTGAATAAAATAAACTAAAAATATTTCTACAAATAATATTTTGTAAAAAAGGATTTTGATACTTTATGCACTTACATTTTCAAAATTTTAAAATTTGTTTATCAAGGGAAAATATTTCTTAATTCTTGTGGAATAATGCTTGAATATTTTGATATAAAGAATTAGGCCTCTAAAAGATAGTTTTGCTTAATTTAGAAGATATATTTTCTTCTCACTTAAAAACAGAAGAAAAATTCAGTTAAAAATTATTGATAAGACCAAAAATTATTTGTAAAATTGAGGTAAAAGGTGTTAAATTTTAACCTAAAATTATAAGTAGTAATCTACCATATTTTATTTATAATTTTATAACAATAATTATTTATTATTAAATATGATATTTATTTACTATATTTTATGGCTTTTAAGATATAATCCTATTTCAGCACAGAATATTTAGGAAAACTGTTTAGTGTATTTAAATTATCCTATGGCTTTAGCAGTTGTCCCCAAAATTGTTTTATTGTATTCTGGTTTAAAACAAAGTAATAATAATACGTTTAGTTAAACAATAACATTTTTATTTTAAAAGTTGGACAGGTAGAGGTTATATGTGGATTACTGAAGGTCATTTGGGAATTCATTAGCCTATGGATCACAACTTTACATGTAAGATGCACTGTGATGATTTTTTTGAGCCTTTTCTTTGGACAAATTTCTGTCCTGTATGTCATAAAATATGGTAGTTACATTATTCCATAGCATTTGGATAATATTTTACAAATATGATAAAATTTAAAGATCTTTTTGTCAAAATGTTTTGCTTTGTGAAAACAATAATTATAAATTACATATATGTGTTATTTTCAGCATCAGAGACAACTGGAATTAGAACTGAAAAGAGAATTAGAAGCTAAAAAAGAATTAGAATTACAGAAAGAACGAGAAAGACAAAAAGAGTTGGAGTTAGAACGACAAAAAGAATTAGAATGGCAGAAAGAAATGCAGAAACAGAGACAGCAGGAAGCTCTTCGCAAGTTACAAGAACAGCAAAGATCTAAACCACAGGTAAAATATATATATATATATATTTTTTTAACTCAATAGTTTTAAATATAGAAGAGTAGAAATCCAATTTACAGAATGTTTTTGATTTTTTATCCTCAGAAGGAATTGCAGACTATTAGAAAAAGATTTTATTGTTTACAATTAAATAAATTCTATACCATCTAGTAGCTAATTATTGAGATTTCTCGTTCATGAAAAACTTTTATAAATACTGCATATTTTATATTTGTTTATTGATAAACTGATATATAAAGAAACAAATTTTTGTAAAAGATTGTTTTTGTTCTATTTAATGCAGTTTATTAATAGGTTTGGTAAGGGTTTTTCTATTTTCTGAATTTTTTCATTCCTAGGAAATCATGATTCAAAATACTGAATCTTGATTTCTTGGGAATAAGGACAAGTAAGCTAGCCATGGTCTTCATTATAAGACATTACTTCTGATTTTTGTCTTGTGCATGTGATAGAGAAGTCGCTAAATCGACAAGTGCTTTCGACAATAATTATTTTTGTCTTCATCAGGTCGTTAAAACATTTAAAATCCTTTTTTGAATACAAATAACAAATCGTTCCAAGCGTATTAACGTTTTGGAATGAAAGCAACGGTAGAACATAATAAAACTTTTAAATGAAAACATGCGCGATTATAATGTGCATGCGTTAAACGCCTCCAAATTGTGGAGCTATATACGTTGTTTTAGATAGTTATACAAATTGATCCACAAAGGGGACAAATCAAGTGTGGGAGTGTTGCAGGGCTTTAATTTGTTGGTAAGGAGGGCTTCCCAAATATACACAAGATTTCTGTTATTGCAATGTATTAGTATGGCCACTTCGCCCCACAATGGGGTATGTTGCTATCAATATTCCATCAGGGAAGGCAAGAAGGAAACCGAACTTGCTAGAATTGCATTACAACACCAACATACTCCATTGTGGGGCAAAGTGGCCATACTAAGACATTGCAATAACAGAAATCTTGTGTATATTTGGGAAGCCCTCCTTACCAACATACTAAAGCCCTGCAACACCTCCACACTTGATTTGTCCCCTTTGTGGATCAATTTGTATAACTATCTAAAACAACGTATCTAGCTCCACAATTTGGAGGCGTTTAACGCATGCGCATTTAATCGTGCATGTTTTTATTTAAAAGTTTTATTATGTTCTACCGTTGCTTTCATTCCAAAACGTTAATACGCTTGGAACGATTTGTTATTTGTATTCAAAAAAGGATTTTAAATGTTTTAACGACCTGATGAAGACAAAAATAATTATTGTCGAAAGCACTTGTCGATTTAGCAACATTTATTTGTAATTTAACTCTTATATGTTAGAAGTTTCTCCTGATAGAGAATTCTTATTGCCTTATATTTTAAATCATGAATCATGTATTACAGTGATCTAGTTTGTTGTGTATATATGGCTTTTATTAAATTTATATAATTATTTATCACACAACTTTAGATGAACTCATAGAACAACTTTTGAAATTCAACTATATTCCTAAATTTTAAATATTGTAACATTCACATGTACAGTACATTCCAGACGATATTAAACTTTATAGATTTGCAACAGAGCCATTAGTAGATCAAAAACATTTGTTAAAGTTGAATTAAAGCTTACTGGATTTAAAATTAAGGTTAATAGTTGTATGTGTTGCAAACAATTCATTCAGTATTTCTGAATAATTGTTATTTAGAACATTTTCAGTACTTCAAAATTAATTTCTTTGAACCCTATAAATATAGTTTTTTGTTGCTACAACATATTCTACACATATTCCTTATTTTAACAGATGACTTTACATATGAGTCATCAAGTAAGTCCAAATAACAAATCTTTCATTATTGGACTTCGGCTTAGGACTCCTTTAATGTTCTAAAATCTCATATTGGAATGGTTTCTTTATTAAATTACTTTGCAAAAGCACATTCTAAAAATCCAACAGTATGTCATGCAGTTTGATCTAAGATGTTATATGTTGAAAATTATACATAATTTAATTCTGCATGTTTGTTTAAGCAGAATCCTGAAAGGCATCTTGCTTTTATGCAAGTTGGCATTCAAAAAGGTAAGGTAGGAAAGAAATTGAAATTTAAAAAATTGTCTTTATCAGATAACATGAAAAGAACGAAAATATTTTAACATATTTAAAAGAGAAAAGTAGAGATAAATTGCTAATTGGCATCAAGAAATTGAAATAAAACAATTGTGTTTGTAATTTGATGTCAATTTTAGAATATTTTCTATAAGAAAGTATTATAGTTAATTTTTATTTTTAATCTACCTAAAATATAATTGTAATAAGAATAGAATAATAATAGTGTTTTAATACATTGAATATTATAAACTTAGGCACCTGCTTGGGGGGGTCAGACACCTACAACACAACTGTCTGCTTTATCATTAACAGAAATTCAAAAATTACAAGAAGAGAAAGAAAAGCAAGAACAGAATGAGGTACGATCTGATATTTTGATAATTTATTTCTTGTAATTTTGCATAAAATTTAATTTGAAAATTTCTAATGCTTTAGAAACGATTACAACTACAGCTACAGCAAATGCAAGTTTTACAACAGACTCAATCAAACAAAAGTTCACTAACTTGGGCACAGAGGTAAATATAAGTTTAAATAGTTGGTGCATATAATCTTTATGATAACATTCTATAAAAAAAAAAAAAAACACTAACTTAACAGAATGTTGAAACAAAAATGTTTATTGATTTTTTTAAAGAAAATTGTAATGCTATCTTAATCTAAAGTTTAATGAAAACTATAAATGAAAGAAATTGACATTGCATTAACTGTTTACTTTTTAATAAATTTAAGAAATAGAAAATTTAGCTTGAAATGGAAGTTTTAATTTTTCATATGCTTTAAAAAAATTTATGGGTTTTTTTTTCATATTTCATCACTTATAGTAAAGACATAACATCACAATTTTGAAAAATTTGCTTAAAAAATATATGGATGTTTTTATGCCATAGATCTGGTAACTGCAATGCACCTGTGAAGAGTTTGTTGGAAATTCAACAGGAGGAAGCACAACGAATTGCTTGGCAACAGAAACAGTTAAAACAGCAGCAGCAACAACAACAACAACAACAACAACAGCAGCAGCAGCAGCATACAGTGAGAAACAATAACATATATATTTATATATACTAAACACCATTTTAATAATTTAATTTTATGTGAATATTTTTATATTGCAGAATTTGAATCTTGGAAATTCTGGTGTCTGGGGAAATTCTACAAATCAGTTACTGCGTTCTACATCTAATGCACCATGGAATGCCAATGATATTGGAAATTCTGTTATGGCAGGATTTTGGGATGATGCAGTAACAGTCAACAACAGCCGTAAAAATGCTAAATCTAAGTTAGTTCTTTTTTTTAAATATATATACCTGTTTCTAAATGGGACTAATGGATTAAACTTAATTTTTAGTGATAGTGCCTTTCCTTCTCTGTGTAACATCGTCCATCCGGTTAATGAGACAAGCAATAAGGCAAAGATAATCAAAGCAAAGAAAGAAGAAGTATTCTAGTTATGATTTTGCATAAGTATGTTATATCTATCTTCAAATTGATTACATTTCTAAATTTTTCAGGAAAATGTTTTGAAACTTTTTGAGACGCACACTAAACCCACTACTGATAAGTTTACACAATGGTGCTTTGACACTCTCTCCAATCTTCCCGGTCTTTCAGTTGATGGTATGTATCATAAAAGTTAATACATCAGATAATCTATATTGTATCTGCTCTCTATAATTGAATTTTAAATTATTTTAGTGCCCACATTTGTTGTTTTTCTGAAAGATATTGAATCACCATATGAGGTAATTATTTAGATGTATATATTTAAATTTTATAGCAGTTTTTAATTGTTTATACTAGTTATGGCAGTTTAATAATATACTTTAATAGGTTCATGATTACGTGAAATCCTATTTGGGGGAGAGTAAGGAAGCCAGAGAATTTGCCAAACAATTCTTGGAACGTCGTAGCAAATTTCGCAATCAGTCTAAGCAAACACCAGCAGAGGTAACATATCAAACTGTTATAACAAGCTTTTGTTAGTGTATTAATATATTTATTTTCAATATATTTAGGAAAATATGTGGGGGCCAGCACCTGCCATTACACCATCAGTAAATAAAAGCAGCTCACAACATGAATTTGAGTCTGGGGTTGGTGGGGGGAAGGGGAAAAAGAAAAAGAAGAACCGAATGCAGAAAGTTGATAATTCTATGTTAGGTTTTACTGTTCAGCCAGATCCAGATCGTATTAATGTGGGTGAAATAGATCACATTGAAGGAATATGATCAACTAAGCATACTGCCAAGTGTTTTAAGTCACGCATGATTGAAATTATCTGGTACACTGCAGTTATTGGAATAATGGTGCTTCTTTTGAATAGATACCAGACAAAATGTACAGAGGTTGTTTCTATTGAAACCACATGGAAATTAATTGTAAAAATGGGTCATAGTCTTACATTTTGTCAATAATTAAATTTAAAAAAAAAAAAAGATACAATTGATTGGCCCACTTAACAAGTTTCACAAACATAACTGGAATTGGTTTGCACCAATGATTGCCAGTGTTATTTGTGAAGGTCTCATTTGTCAAAGTGAATTTTGAACTGATCAAAGAGTCAAGATGATTGGATCAAATAGATGGCTGTATAAATCAAAGTGTGAGGCAGGAAATGCCAATGTAATTATATAAGAAAAGTTTGTTGGAGGATCCTGTAGACAGTGTAAATAAATTTATAAGCCTGCAGTGTTGCATAAAACATTATCTGATTCAAATTATTTTTTATAAATTATAATTATATCCAAATTATAAAGTTTTTTTTTATTAGTTTGGTATAATCTGTATATAATTAGTCTGGTATATCCTCTATGTATAAAAACTGTGAGAAAACGTAAGGTTTATTTAATTTTTATTACAACCAAAGTTCAATAATACTACAGTATTAAATTATCACAGAATACTTGTATAGTTCATTTTCATAATGTATATCAAAAATTCATTTAAATTATAAATCTTGAATTAAAGTGTAGTTATCTGTTTTAAGTATGAAGTTTGTCAAGAAATTAGCTGAAATAATATATTTATTTTAAGGAATTTTACAAAAAAATAGTTTTCTTTCCAAACTTTTGACAAACTTTATACTCATATATCCAAAACTTAAGGACAGATGATGTTTGTACCAGTACATGAATAGAAAGAACTTTAGATGAATGCAGATAAATAGCAAGAGCTATTTTACTCAATGTCTTACACAGTGTAATACACAATAACTTTTTGAATTTTACAAATCAAAGCAATAGAAGTCTTTGGTGACAAAGATGCATACAGCAGTGGGACATAGATGGTGAACACTTTCTATCCATTCTCTAATATCCAGGCAGAAACCTGATAGTGTGGAATATGTCCACTTCAAACTGCAATGCAGCACTCAACATCATGGCAGGCTTGTCACTAACTAGCTCAATGACTTTTTTAGTTATCACCATTAGAAATTGTGTTTGTCCCTAAGTTTTGGACGTAGACTTATTTCATCTAATTATGTAATCCAAAATATTCCATAATAAGCAGAAAATGGTCTTATTTCAAAACAAGTTTTTATCATCAATTCAAATAATGCTAATATCAATTAATTTACATTAAAAAAACATGTACTAAACTCAAAACAATTTATTTTAGTTTTTAAATATTACAGAACAGATGAAAAAATGTTTCATTTTAACATTAAAATCAAAATTCAGATGGCATTCTTTTATTATCAATTTATTTTCATACATTTTAAATCAATTTATTTTCAAATTTAAATGTATGAAAATAAATTGATACCTTTAACAATTTAAAGTATTGAAATTACATGTAATAATAATTATACTTGCAGTTTTAAAAAATACTAGATAATAAATCTGCATATTAAATTAGTCAGCAACATAATATAAAACAAATGGATTTTGAATAATTAGTTTAATTAATTAATGTTAAGAAGTGCAGTTTGCTCAAATGAATAGATAGCATTTATACTAAGTTCTTTACATTTTGAAAGTATTTGTAACATGTAATTATTGGAGTGTTATCACTAATGCTTCTATACATAATGTGTCAGTAATGGTAAAGGATGTAAACAAAGTACACTTAGTCCACTACATAACCAAGTTTGCAGTTTCAATTTTTACAAACTTACAGGAAAAATTTTTGTTTTTTTATTTATTAATGTTTCATAAATTTTCATGTTTTAATTTTATAAATCTATAATATTATCATATTAGATAATTCATTCTAATTAATATAATTTCTCTCTACAGAATATTTTCTTTGGAAATAATTGAAAATGAATATACCATATTTAAAATCATTGAAAATGTCCAAGCATTAAAATCAAATAAAAATTGCTTTACTGGAGAACTCATATTAGTACAAATAACCACAAAAATTCAAAGAACATACAATCAAACTTATAGTACCTCATTAGGGGCGTTAATTACTTAATATAACAAAGTTTATAACTCTAAACGCAGTGGTTCCCAATTAGTTTTTCCTGTGTATCACTTCAAGAAAGAGCTCAAACTCGCTTACCCCTTATAGCAAAAATTCATATTAATCCATATAAATTCGAAGGTAATTCTGTTTGTCTGTTACCTTTTCACGTCTAAACCGCTGAACAGGTTTTAATAAAATTTGGCACAGAGATAGCCTACATGTTGCAGATGGACATAGGCTACATTTTACTGAGAGAAAATTCGATATAATGCGGGCGAAGCTGTGGGTAGACAGCAAGTGATAAATAGAATAATTTTTTTTACACTTATTACATTTAAAATACAATTCTAATAATAATGAAAATAACATATGGTTATTTAATTTTAATGTGACAAATGTGCACGATTTTCTTTGCACAACTTTGTAAAATCTGGTTGCTTTCTTGTCAGCTTCAGTCTCGAGTCATCTTCGAGTCGAAGTCGGTGACGATGTTCAGTTTTCATGTTTGCCATGGCCGAAAATTCGCTCTCGCAGAGGTATGTTGTGCAAAACGGTAGTAAATATTTTATAGCTGCTTCGCTGACATGATGATAATGTTAATTGTACAATTTTTGTTTCTTGAGCAAGAATTTCATTTAGTATTGTCACAAATGCATTTTTCTGATGAAATTTCGAGAATATATATTTAGTTATAAATAAACGAATTTGTGTATTCCACATCATGTTGTAAATTGCAGAATTTTTTGATGGTCCACCCATTATTTTTTTGGTTGCTTCATCTCATGCATTTAAATTTTAAATCGACCGATTTTAGATTGCCGCGCATATCCCTTCATGCATTTTCGCGTACCCAGAGCCGTAACTGGCCATTCCTGTGCCCTGTGCAAGAATTTGCATTTAGGCCCCTTAATTTATTTGGTTTGGGAAAATAATAAAACAAATATATTACAGTAGATTTTTAATAAGATTTATTTTAATTGAACTTTTCTGGCTTTCATTTCAGCAAATTCATTAATTACATGATCGTAATTAATATTTTTAATGATAATGTATTCTATTGAAATTATAGAAATATTGGACAATCGTTCTTGCCCGATAGTTAATCTTAATAAATTTTTTATTAATTTTAACTTGCTAAAACTTCTCTCGCACGAAGCAATAGAAACGGGAAGAGTTAGAAATATTCGAAGAGCGACATTGATATTTGGGTAAGACTCAAACCAAAATCATGAAGAGCCTGTAGAATATTAAGCGGAGATGCAGTTTCTATATTTTGTATAAGAGTCGTTACTTCAAA